GGCACAGGGCCCTGGGCAGGCGGGGGAGCAGCCAGCCCTTCCCGCACCACCCGGGCCCTGCCAGTGCCTCTGCTCGGGCTGTGAGCACCGCAGGGCCGGCTGCCTGCGCCACCCCAGCCCCCAGCAAACAGGGGCAGAGCCGGCTGACCCCCCCTCCCTGCCCCCAGCACCGGGCCAGGACGCTGTGAGGAGAGGCAGAGCCCTGGGGGGGGAACTTGGGGGGCAGCCCCGACATGCTGGAGTGTGGCAGCGTTTGTGAGCGAGGGACACGTGCAGGCAGGGACCTGAGTCGGAGGGTGCATCTCCACAAAGCTACAGAACCCATAGGTTTTTTGGGGGGAATCCTGATGCTCCTGGAATGCAGAGCCTCCCTGCCAGAGCAGTGGGGTACTCCCAGTGCCACAGAGCCAACCCCCCCCCCGAGAGGGAAGTGGGGGTGCTCTCCCATGTACACACACACACGTGCACAGCGACACAGGCATTTGTGCATGCACGCCTCTGCCTGCACCCTCCTGCACCCCCGGGCACGCACATGCACACACTCACATGCCCAAACGTGTCCCCAGATGCCCCCAAGACCAGGCCCTGCATCCCGGCTCCTTCCCGTGCTGCTGTCACCGCCACGTCAGGGCTCTCCTGCCCGCACCCTGCCAGTTGCCATGGCAATGCTGTGCCTGCCAGCAGATGAAGTTTGCTCTCCCACGCCACAGAGAGGGGACCGGAGCAGCCGGGGGAGCCCAGCTGTCCCTGCCACCCCACGTTCTGCCCATCTGCCTACGCCTTGCGGTGCTGCAGCGATGTCCCTGCTCTGGCTGCACCAACCCAGCCTGGGTGCTTGGTCCTGGGCTCCAGCTGCCTCACAAGGCACAGACCTGCTGTTTGCAGGACCAGGGCACACGTCAAGGAGTGTCCATTGGTGGGACGTCTTCACCCCATCATGGGGAGCCATCTTCTGCCAGCCATAACACCCAGGAGCAAGCCTTGCCCAGCGACAGGAGGGACAGGAACAGCCTGTACCTCCCGGCACTGGTGAGGCCTCACCTCGAGTATTGGCAGGAGGGATAGGAACAGCCTGTACCTGCCGGCACTGGTGAGGCCTCACCTGGAGGCCTGTGTTCAGTTCTGGGCCCCTCACCACAGGAAAGACATTGAGGGGCTGGAGCGTGTCCAGAGGAGAGCCACCAAGCTGGGGAGGGGTCTGGAGAACAAGTCACACGAGGAGAGGCTGAGGGAACTGGACATGTTTAGTTTGGAGAAGAGGAGGCTGAGGGCAGACCTCATTGCCCTCTACAGCTCCCTGAAAGGAGGGTGAAGAGAGGTGGGGGTTGGCCTCTTCTCCCAAAGGACGAATGACAAGACCAGAGGAAATGGTCTGAAGTTGGGGCAAGGGAGATTTAGATTAGATATTAGAAAGAATTACTTTACTGAGAGAGTGGTCAGGCCCTGGAACAGCCTGCCCAGGGAGGTGGTGGAGTCACCATCCCTGGAGGGATTTAAGAAACGTATAGACATGGCTCTTCAGGGCATGCTCTAGTGCCCAAGGTTATTGGTTTATGGCGAGGTGTTGAGTGTGGGGTTTAGTTGGTGGGTGCAGTGTTTTTGGTGGGCGTTTGGTGTGGTGTGGTGTGTGGGGTTTTTTGTTTTGGTTTGGTTTTGTTTTTGTTTTTGGTTTGGTTTGGTTTGGTTTTTTTGTTTTGTTTTGGTTTTGTTTTGTTTTTGTTTTGTGTTTGGACTCGATGATCTCAGAGGTCCCTTCCAACCACTAAGATTCTGTGATTCTGTGATTCTGTGATTCTGTTCTCCAGCATCTCTGGAGCCCACCAGGGCCACCCCGTGCCATGGATCACAGCAGGGCAGAGGTGGAGGGGTGGGTTGGATGCAGCTGATGGGATCCCAGGCAGCAGGAGCAGGGGCAGTCGGGGCTCAGGGCAGCTCTGAAGTGCTGCATGGCCCTGCTGCCCCCCCAGCCCCTGGCACTGGACAGCGGGGGATGGACTGGCAAGGTGCCTGCAGCAACAGGGCTCTGGACCTTCTGCTCCATCTGCCGAGGCCTGAGGGTCTATTTTTAGGCTGCCTGGCAGAGCAGGCAGCCACCACACACGTCTGCTGCCAGAGCTGCCTTTGCTCTCCTGCCTGGGTCCTCCCCTGCGCCTGGAGCAAGGGAGCTCTGACTTGGCCTGCAGACAGACCCCACAGACCTCTCCTTGACCCCTGGAGCTCCTGCCCCTGGCCCCACGAGACAGGCCAGGTCTCTTGGGGGCCTCTGCAGCCAGCCCCATGCAGCCAGTGTGCCCGTGCCCATCACAGTGTGGCAGCCGTGCCCCAACAACACCGCTGGTCCAGCCCCTTTGCTTGGCCCCCAGCATCTCTGGATATCTGTCCCCAGCGTGTCTCCCTGTCCATGCACCCCAACCCTCCCTGCAGTCCTGCCACGGTGGCTGTGGGCCATGGTGGATGGATCCTGTGAGACCTGGACGGACTGGAGAGCTGGGCAGAGAGGAACCTGATGAAATTCAACCAGGGCAAGTGCAGGGTGCTGCACCTGGGGAGGAATAACCCCCTGCACCAGCACAGGTTGGGGGTGACCTGCTGGAGAGCAGCTCTGAGGAGAAAGACCTGGGGGTCCTGGTGGACAACAGGATGCCCACAAGCCAGCAATGGGCCCTGGTGGCCAAGGAGGCCAAGGGCATCCTGGGGGGCATGAGGAAGAGTGTGAGCAGCAGGTGGAGGGAGGTCATCCTGCCCCTCTGCTCTGCCCTGGGGAGGCCCCATCTGGAGCACTGGGACCAGTTCTGGGCTCCCCAGTTCCAGAAGGACAGGGAACTGCTGGAGAGGGGACAGCAGAGGCTACAGAGATGATGAGGGGCCTGGAGCATCTCTCTGATGAGGAAAGGCTGAGGCACTTGGGTGTTTTTAGTCTGGAGAAGAGAAGGCTGAGGGGGGATCTGATCAACACCTATAAATACTTAAAGGGTGGGTGTCAGGAGGATGGGGCCAGTCTTTTTTCAGTGGTGCCCAGGGACAGGACAAGAGGGAACAGGCACAAACTTGAACAGAAGAAGTTCCACCTAAACATGAGGAGGAACTTGTTTGCTGTGAGGGTGGCAGAGCCCTGGCAGAGGCTGCCCAGGGAGGTGGTGGAGTCTCCTTCTCTGGAGACATTCAAACCCACCTGGACACGTTCCTGGGCAACCTGCTCTGGGTGGCCCTGCTCTGGCAGGGGGTTGGAGGAGATGATCTCCAGAGGTCCCTTCCAGCCCCATGTCATTCTATGATTCTCTGATCCCTGTGACTAGCCCGGGACCAGCCACTGGGGCCCCATCCCGCACCCACTTCATGCCAAGCCCCCTCCCCAGCCCCTCAGAGCTGTCAGCAGTTCTGGCTCCACTTCAAAAGGGCCATGGCAGGACCAGGCCCTGGCAGCTGCTTCACACGGCGCTGGGGGGGCTTTCATCACCAGCGGGGGTGAGCATGAGCTCACCAGCCCAGCGAGGACAAGGGTGACATTTGGGAGGCGGCAGAGCCAGCGGGGCAGGGTGATTAGCCGATAACCTTTCCTGGGAGACGCCAGGTGTGTGCACCAGTGTGAGGAGGGGGCACGTCCCCCCGCACTTGGAGCCACTGGAAAACAGCTCCCAGTGCCCCAGCTCTGCCCCTTCATGCAGGGCACGGAGAATGCCCCAGCCTGGGGTTCACCAGCCCTACAGCCCGGGCACCCCGGGGATGGGCACCCCTCCAGGGCACCCGCAGCACCTCTGCATCCAGCTGTGTGTCCTTCCTAACAGGTGGTGCCAGGACCTGTTTGCACTGGGTGTGGGGGCAGCCCCCCAGCCCACCCCGCAGGAGGGAGGGATCCTCCTGCAAACAGGGAAGCAGAGGGTGATGTGGTTTAGGAGCAAGGTGCCAAGGTCCAGCTTTGGCAAAGATGCCAGCTGGGAACCGTGGCTGTGCGAGGATTGCCCCCGTGCCAGGGACAGAGCAGACGTGGGGGGCTTTTCCCAGTGGGGCAGGGGGGGCAGCAGCACTGCAGAGAGGGTCCCCACGTCCCCGTGTCCCCATGCACAGTGCCATGCGAAGGGGTTCTTTCCCAGAGGCATCCCCACACAGGACGTGGTGCCCCCTCCCTGCCCCGCAGAGGGGGGGTTCGGGGGGGCCAGCAGCGAACAGGGTGTCTGTGTGCAGGCTGGTGGGAGCTGGGCAGGGCCAGGAGCTGCCCGGGGGGGCTGGGTGGGCGCCAGGGTGGCCTCGGCCCCGCAGCTGGGCCGGGAGCGCTGCCAGCCACATTCCTGGGGCTGCCGGGCAAGCGGGAGCGTGGGTGGGCGCAGGGCAAGTGCACGACCACCGGTGCCCCTGCCCACTGCCCGCCCCGCCGGGCACCCCCACGCCACCAGGCCAGCTCAGCCCCACGGTGCCCCCAGCTGCGCCCCAATCTCCCTCAGCCACCCCCAGACAGGGCCACCCCCACAGAGCCGTGGTGCCAGCCCCACGTTGCCCCCCATGCCAGGGTGCTCTCTCCTCTCAGGAGCTGCCAGACACCCCAGGACACATGTCCCTGCGTGGGCAGCCCCCGAGGGTCCCTGCTCTGCAGCAGGCACACTCCATGCCTGGCACTGGTGCAGCCCGGGAGCCTGGAGTCCTGGGAGCCTGGGATGGGGCTGGGGGAGGGAGGATGAGAGGGTGGGGGG